CGACTGTAGGTTCAAGTGTGTGTGAAACATGAAATGCCTACTCTTCACCTAATGCTTCCTGCAACTGAGGAGGGTTTGAAAGTGTAGGTTGCTCAACAGGGTCATCCAGATTCTCATCGATCGCAGAAATAGTATTTTGAGAGGGAGGATCCACAGGGGCGATTAACTCAGACACCATAACCTGTTCTATGGTAGTTTTCTCTTCAGATGGAACATATATATTCAAAGCGGTGGGGTCAGATCCATTCTTATTCACTTGATCTTTAGATTTCAAATTTGGATGAGACTTATAACATTTATCAAGATTGTGCCCAAACATCATACAATGAAAACAATAAGGAGGTCTATGCTCCATAACAATTTGTTGACAATAGCCATTGTGAGTTGTGTCCAACCAGATTTCAGTAACATCAGGTAAAGTAATATCTCTTTAAACAAGTACTCTGGCTACAGAAGGTCTGGTTAGGTAAAAAGTTGGTAGATCTAGCTTCAAAGGGTCCCTAAGTATGACACTAATAGGGTAAAGAACCTGATGGTGAAAAAAATACAGCTTAAGATTAGGTAGACTAAACCATACCGATACAGTAGGAGATTCGTGGTTGAGGTCAAAATCAGAATACCACTTGAGTAGCTTCATTGGTTTACCATCAATATTGAGATATTTTTTCGAAAAAATCTCAGTGTAGACTTCAGGCACGGTTAGTTGAATTAATACATGTCTCCCATCTATGAGACCTACTTTTCACTTTCCTGCTAATTTGAGATCATCAAAACTTTTCCTTATAACCTCCATAGGTGGGTGTCCCCACTGAAATTTTCCAATAAGAACAAACTTGAATTTATCACTAAGAATAAAATTTCTAGCTCAAAGAAAAAATGTATTAATTTCTCACTTTTCCTGCTTACAATCTTGATTAAAGGGCAATCACCTTCTCGTTGCTCCTTATAACCTGAGGGGAAAACAACCGTTGTCTCCCTCTGAGAATTACCCACAACGTGGGCAAAGGAGGCTTTGTCAGGTTCAAACATAGACGGAGGAAGCTTCATCCAGCAAGAGAAGCCCTGCCAAAGTGGAGCAGCGGCAAAAATAGCAAGCCGAAAGGTCGAGGCGAAAAACTGTAGTTGTTGAAGCAGCAGAACAGTCGCAGCTCGACGAGGCAAGTCGCGGAACAGTTGCAGCAAACGAGAGCCAGAGGAACCACGACAAGACGACCAGACGCGGCTCCCAGCTCGATGACCACCCATGCAGAAGCGACGAGACGACGAAGACGAGACAGTCAGGCGCAG